ACACACACACACACACACACACACACACACACACATATAATAATGTATATTATATAATCATGTGTGTATATACACATATAATCTATAGCATAGATTATATCTATGTACCATAGATTTATATATATATACATGCTACTATATATATCAGCACATATGCTACCATATATGTATATGTGTACTATATATACATATAGGCTATATACCATAGATTATATATACCACATGTGCTGACATCTATAAAACAGTGTATATGTGCCCCAAATATTTGTATTGTGTATAAATACATACACATGTGTTTTACATATATAATCCACACATATACAGTATGTATATGTATAAAAATATATATACATATATTCATACATATATTGGGATATATATACAAATATATATAAATACAAACATATGTATGTGTATATATTTGTATTCATACACACATTTTTAATTAACTTTATATTTTCATTGATAAAATCATAGATTAAACTCTGGATAAGACCTTAGAAACCATCTAATTGATGGTTTCATTTTACAGAGAACCAAACTCATGCCCAGGGATGTAAAGTGATTTGTTTAACGTCACAGAGCTAGAAAACATCAGCAGCAGGATTTGAATTCATGTCCTCTAGACTCCATATCCAGTGGTCTTTCTGTGATACCACAATAGTTTTCTTAAAGGAACAATTCGTGTTTCAAACTGGATTATGCTGCCAATTTAGTAGTTGTTCATTTACCATTCATTAAACTAATGAATTGAATTCTATTCATTAGCCCTGTCTGCTCATCCATGTGTGTTCACAACTGTACTGTTTCCATTTCTTTCCCTGCCTTTCTGAGGCAGCAGAGAAGAAATCACTGGCAAACCAAGGATTTCCTAAAAGCAGAGATAATTGTCAGGGTGGATTACATGCTGAGGTCTGTCTTTTGAGATCCTTTGAGAACACATACCTACGATATCCTCTGGCACAGTGTACTGAGAGAGAAAATTGGCCACCAAGTCTTCTTTGATGTTTGTATGGAAGCTGATGTAAAATGAAACAGAGTGCTCTTGTTTTGTTTTTGAGGTGGGGAGGGTGTCCAGATTTTAACAGATATAAAGAACTCTCAATAGGAAGTTTGCATCTATCAATGCATATCAGCAAATATTGTGCAATTTATTGTCTTAGATAGTTTCCAAACACACTGAGAATGTTCTCATTTTCCCAAGGTCACACAAGCAATATACATCAGGAAGGAAGGTCTCTTCTCTGAAACCAGCTCTTTATCTACAATACTAGAGTTACCTCTGAAGCACAGTTTATTCCAGCAAAATCCCTCATGTCTCATTTACATTAGTGAATGGACACAGAAAATTCCAGTTCTTACATGAAAATTATACTGTCTATGTCCTTTGCCTCAGAGATCCCACTGCTAGGCACATACCCAAAGGAGGTCAAAGACGCATCCCATTTATACCAAAATATTCATGGAAACACTTTTTTTTAAACTAGCAAACCAAGTCATGTGCCCACCCACTGTGTAATGACTAAATAAACTGTGGTCCATGAATATGATGGAATATTGTTGCACTGTAAGAGATGAAAATACAGAGAAATATGGGGAGATTTAAATCAACTGATGCCAAGTGAAATGAGCAGAATCAGGAGAATAATATGCATAATAACTACAATAATGGAAAGCAAAAGAACCCAGAATTATAATGATCAAGGTTAGCCTCGGAGAGAAATTGAAACAATAGGCCTTCTTCTCTTTATAGAGGGCTATGGGTGGCTAATATTGCATATATTGTGAGATAGTTTTGCCAAATTATTTTTCTTTTCTTTCTTTTTAGTCTTTGTTCCAATGAATGGTTTGCTGGGAAGGGAAGAGAAGGATGTATTCAGAAATTAAGCTGATATAAAAACAAAAGGCATCAATAAAAATAATAAGATTTTTTAAAAAGAAAACTAAGTTTCTCTTCTTTAAAGCGAATCAATGTTAACCACTCAATGTTGTAGAAGTCTGACCTCTGACATTTACCAGTTGTTTGACAATGGGAAAGTCACTTTCCCTTCTCTAGGTTTCATCCATAAAATATACTTCCTATTGCACAAAGTTGTTGTGAGGCTCAAATAGAATACCTATAAAAACACTTTGCAACCCCCAAAGCACTCTATAAATCAACTATTATTATTATTACTATTATTATTATTATTATTATTATTAACTATTATTATTAGTCAGATTTCATCTGATTGGAATCTTTTAAACAATCTCCTCTAATGTATTGAAAGGCTAGATAAATACATGAGCCTAAGTAGCAGCTCAAATCATACCCTCTGTAAGAGGACTTTTTTCAATCCCCTTAGTTTCAAGTGCCTTCCCCCTGAGATTATCTCCCAATCTCCCCATTGCTCCATATATCACTTGTGTATACCTAATTATTTACACATCCCCCCCCCACTAAAATGTGAGCTTCTTGAGGGCAGGGACACTCTTTTTACCTTTCTTGGTAGCCACAGTTCTTAGCAAAGTGTCCATGCTTTTAAGAAATTTTTTTTATTGATTGATTGAATAGCAATATTATTTTTTAAAAAATTTATTTTTATGAAGAACTTGTTAAACATCAACCAACTGTAATATTTCCATATGCTTTTGCATATATAAATGTATGTAAATAGAAAAAGAGTTGAATATGAAACTGAACTTCTAATATGTGCAGTTTGTTTTTGTGTACGTATTAAATTTAATATGTAGCAAAACTATCCTGTTTGTTAGTGTCCACTTCTCAATTTCCTTCTGCTCTCTTCTATGTATTTTTTAAATGTTTTATTGTTTAACTTAATTTTCTTTCTTCTTTTTAGCATCACTATCATTTCCCAAGGATTGTCCCCCAACTAGTCTTTCCCCTAACCCCATAGGAGTCCTCCCTCGTAACAAATCCTAGAGTCAGTTAAAACAAATTCATACATAGACCATGTCTGGAGATACAACACCAGTATTCTTCTAGTGATGTTAGATCGCTGTCAGTCAGGGAACGAAGTAGGCAATTTTAGTTGAGGACCACCCTGAGGGCAATGTGGAGGTGTGTGGTGGCCCCTAGCAGGTTGCAGATGGGTACAAATGAAGAATTACAAAGGTGAAGCAAATATGTCAAAGAAATATACAAGCAACAACAACAATCAAAATAATGGCCACTCACATGGGCGAGCGTGAGAGAGGGACAGCTTTTGCATTCCATTGGTATCCGCAGAATGTTAGGAGAACTTTGAAGGAGACTCCCAAAACGTTGGCTGGATTTTCTTCACTGAGCTTTTCAAAAGACACAGGAAAGAGTCCCAACATAGTCAGGGAGGGATGAGTTGCATCCATTATCATACTCATTGGAGATCATATCCACATTGGTGAGATCACAGACACATTGGGCTACCTGAACACACTGAGAGATAGGGTGATGTAATGGAAAGAACACTGGAAAACCAGAAGAAATCCTGGAAATCAGGAGAGAATTGGGTTCCAGTTCTGTCTCTAACACGACACAGGGAAATTATTTTACTTCTCTGACCCTTAATCTCTTCCTTTGTAGAATGGGGACCTGTGTAGTCTGCTTCACAGTGTTATTGTAAGATCAAATGAAATAATATATATTTTGCACACATAATATCCCCAAAGAGCATTGTCATCTTTAAGGTACTGTATAAATGTCAGGGATTATCAAGCAAAGGAAAAGGCAGATATAGGCCAGTTTCACTCGAATTCTAGACTGAAGGAAAATACATCTCCCATGGTCAATAATTTGCACAATAATTTGAGGCAGCATCCACCTTGCAAGGTCTGTGGGAGACCTGTGGTTTTAAGATCTCAACAATTTTTCGAAGTGAGAATTGACCTATTTGATGTGACATTATTCTAGGGGCAAATACTGTGTTTATTGTCATGGCAACTCTAGTGGTATATCTTGAAGGAAGAAAATAATTAATCCCTCTTTATTTCTCCTATAGGCTATTTTGACAAAGCGCATTTCAATTCATATAAGTTTGCCCTCATTTGAATGAACATTTCTTCTATAAAAATGATTATGATTAAATTAAACACGGAAGTCTCTGTGTCTCTTTGAGATGAAATGTGTGTGTGTGTTGAGGAAAAAATTACATTTGATTTCTAATACTGTCTTCTCAACTAAGAGTGCTGGAAAGTTTTAAATATTTAAGTTTTAACTTTTAGCTCAAAACTGTATTATGACTTTTGGGACACACTCTGTTTCCCATCTTTTCCCTGTAATTTGCTCCCAATTAAAAATAGAAACAGGTATCATATGAATTGTGAGATACTCAGAATCACAAGAGTTACCAGGTTCACTTAATAGCTAGTGAGTATATGAGACAGCAAAGTATAGTAGAACCCAGGAAATCGTTGGCATGAGATCTGAGTTTGAATCTTGCCTCTGACCTTGATTAGCTGTTGGACCCTAAGTAACTCATTTAACCTCTCTGAGCATCAATTTCTGAGACAATCATATTTCCACTAGCCATCTTAAAGGATTAAGATAAGAAAAGTGCTTTGTAAAAATTTAAAGTGCAGTTACCCCTTCCCTGTTGAGACTTTTCAGCATTGTGGTTTCGACATATCTCAGGTCAGCGCAAGAAATTAAATGGGAATTTTGGGGGAGTTTTGTGAAGTTGCAGATGACATGTGACGGCTAGCAAATGACACAGAAAACATTTAGAAATTCAGAAATGCATAAAATATATGTATAATATTATATAATATCAACATATTTTATCTTTTAATACCATACTGTTCCAGATTTCTTCTCTGGTATGAAGAAAGGGTCAAAAAAATTTTAAATAAATTTTCCAGGTGACAGGGGTGCTATGCTCCTAACCCCCATGATGTGGAAAGATAACTGTACTATCAAAATGTGTTATTACTAGATTAAAAACTTAACAAGCTTTGCCAAAGACTTGTTCACAAGCCAAGGACTGATTTGCTTGGTCGGTTTCTCTCTCTCTCTCTTTTTTCAGACGCTGCAAATGGACGTAAACAAGCTTAACATAACTTTGCTTCGGATATTCCGTCAAGGAGTGGCAGCAGCTTTAGGACTACTGCCACAACAAGTTCACATCAATCGCCTAATTGTAAGCTGCCCAGATGTTGTCTATCCAAATTGCAAGATATCTTTTAATTAGATAGTGTTTCATTACTTGGGGGAGGATTCTCTAGGGCTAAGCCTAGCTTACCCTCAATGTAAACATCCGTCTATTCTCACAGAAATAGAGCTAGAAGGGGCTATAGAAATCATCAACTCCAATTTTATAGATATAAGGAAACCGAAGCCATAGTTTAGATTAGTTACCTGAGATCATATAGGTAGTAAGCAGCAGAGTCAGGATTCAAATCCAGATCCTCTGGCTGAAGACATAAAACTGTTTTCCATGTACCACACTTCTTAAATCCTACTGAAGGCATGTACAATGCTCTCTCTCTCTCAAAAAAAAAATAGAAGTATATAACACTCTTCTAAGTTTAATTTGCAATATGAACATTTTCTCCATCACTTTCATAAATCTATATAATCAACAAAGCAATAAATCAATTCTTGTTTATAGCTCACATTGAAATTTTAATAATGATCTATCTCAAGATGCTAGGGGGTCGATTTGAGCTCAGAACCTCTTGACTCCAGGGTGGGTGCTCTATCTACTATACTACCTAGTTGCCTCTCCCAATACTTTTCTGCACATATCTTATAAGAAGGTAGATTCCCTTTCAACGGAAAAGCTGGCAACCACTTCTTAGGAATGTTTTATAATTAAAAATGTTCAAGAGCCATAGCTTCTGAGTAATTTAATCATTTTATTAATAAGGCCAGCAGGTTATTAATAAACAGTCATTTGGCCATCTCTCTTAGACCAAAGATAATCATGGCAGGAGGTTCACAGTTTATATACCCTTCCAATGAGGGTGGTTGATGCTACCCCATCAGCATGTTACTTTGTTTAGAAAAAATATCTCTATGTCAGACCACTCTGAGCTATACCAGACTTGGGTTATCTATTTTATTTTTTGGTGAGGCAATCAGGGTTAAGTGACTTGCCCAGGGTCACACAGCTAGTAAGTATCAAGTGTCTGAGGCTGGATTTGAACTCAAGACCTCCTGAACTTTTCAAATGAGTTATTTAGAAGAAGGGGAGAGCTTCTGAATCTCCCCAAGATAGTGGTTATTCATAATCCTTTCTCACAGTTTTACAGGGAATTCATGCTTCAGGTAGGGGTTGGACCAGGTGACCTTTAAGCATTTTTCTAATGCTCACGTTCTATGATTTTACACATTAATATATTACCCCAGTAGCCTATTTGTCTATGTACATACAAATATGCCATGCTTTAAAGAATAGTGAAATAATTTATTTTTCTTCTAGAAATAGAAATGTCATCCTGCAATGCATGTGGGGCTACTAATATCCCCTAAGGATATATACAAATGTTGTGTATATGCGCATGCAGCACGCATTCTGGATCTATGTTCCCAATCCCCACTCACATTGGCAAGCTAGGTCTCCAGAGTTCTGGTGATACATCCACCCAGGGCTCTAAGGTTAATCCTGAGGGGTTGATAAGTTGTTTTTTTTTTCTTTCTAATGTTATAACTCATGAACTCCCACCAGTACGTTTCTCTCCATGAATATCAGTTGATATCAATTAGCCAGCCAAATTTAATTTGCTTTTAGAGGTATTTACTAAGGTGTTAGAGTAGGAAAAGTTTGTACAAAATATCCCTCCAAAAGACTGTGTTATTCTCCCACCATGACATACAGACTCCCCCATAAGGTGGTCTCCAGCTTATTGGGCACATGTGGCAAACAGATGACTCTTTCATGAGTCCCTCATTAAGTTCCCCTTAGGTATATTGTAACATCTGCTGGGCTTCTTATAGAATTTTGAAGCCGCCTTTTCTCAGTCTTCAGCTCCCAATGCAGACAACACACCAGTTGTTCCAAGGATGCTACTAGGATAGATGGGAAGACCCAAATCACTTGACCCTCTGAGGTTAGGGAAGCTAAGGGAGAGAAAAAAATGAATCTGGTGTTCTAATCTCCCCACTCCTGCAAGTAATTCCTTCTTAGCAGGTTGGCTGGGAGGGTTACTACCAGTAAGATGCCAGGTATTCAAATCCCTGAGTTCCAAATTGCCTTGCTATTTTATATAGACCCTTCAGGGTATGATCAAGTCTTTCAACCAATTAAAGCAGACTTCCTACCAAACCTAATTGAGAAGCCTTTGATTGGTTGGTTCAAGCAGTGTCCACACAAGAAATGCTCACATCTCTTATTAGGTAATTAAATCTAGATATTGTCTCATCTGATAAATGTATCAGAACTAAAGGGGTGGGGCCATCCTTACACATATGCACACAGAGATATAAATATCCTCTATTAACATCTTCCTCTGCTGCCTTATCAAGGTGTGGAGGTGGTCCTGGCCCTCCAAGCTATGCCAAGAGAACACCAGTTCTAGAAGTAAAGACCTGGTGATGACCTGTGTGTCTGTCATCTACGGATCAGCCTAGCTGAGTGTGGAGAAGCTCGTCACCAGGTTGGGCACAGCGTGACTTTTTTTTTTTAACCACATCAAATGTTGAAGACCACCTGTTACCTCCAACACATTTTTAAGCAATTAGCATTGTGCTGGTAGCTGGAAACTGGGGATTCAAAGATAATAAAAAATCCCTGACCTAAAGGAATTTATCTGCTATTCACTTTGACTATCACAAAGAGATTAGAGTCTTCATTGATGTAAGATATGTGGCTTAGTGTTACACTTCAGCTCATTGAAACCTGAGTTCAAATCTTACCTAACATACATATTAGCTGTGTGACCCTGAGCAAGTCATCCAACCACTATCTGCATCAGTTTCTCTATTTGTAAATGAAGGATAATAATAACTCCCATCTCCCAGAGTTATTGTGAGGATAAAATAAGATAATATGTGTAAAGTACTTCGCAAATCTTAAAACATTTTATAAATATTAGCTACTATTATTATTATTATCCACACCAGGGAAATCATGGTGGATCTTTGCCATATTAAAGTTTATACACGTGTATAGCTTTAAAAAAAGTTGTAGTTTAAAAAATAGAAATGTAGAATTCTGTTTGTACATACATGCATGTAAAAGCTTATACGTATAATATAAATTATAGATTATATAATTATATATGATTATGTATATAACATATATAAACACATATGTGTTTTTATGTTTGTATAGACTTTAGTGACCTCCTCACAGTCAGTGTCTCTCCAATATTATTGACCACAAGAAATTCATGCCTTCTCAGACTGAAATCCTTATCCATGGACTCCTGTAAATATCTGCCACAGAATATCTCCTAGGGCTGCTAGGAGCCTTCTTCCATATTTTTTGATATTGCATGGGAGCCAGTTCAGCTTTTGGCCTTTCTGTCACTCTTACTACGTAACTTGGCCCGCCTCCTTCTCTAATCACACGTTGTGTAGAGATCTTTTATTTAATATCTTATACCCAAATAATATGTTCTCTGTACCATGATTAGCAGCTAATCTATCTATCTAGATGTGGTTTCATGTCAGAGAACAGCTTAGTGTTGTTGAAAATAATAAATAATTTCCCAGATACAAACCAGTCAATCTCTTTGTTCTGTTTGATTCTGAGCTCGATTCAGTGTCCATCTATAGCACCTGTCTGAGATATGTGTGCTGAAGTATGAATTCAAAGGATTGCCCATTCAGTTTTCATAATCTTGACATCATATACACACACACACATATATGGAGTATGATTTATATACATGTCTATGTAGGCATGTGTGTATACATGAAGAATAAGACATGCATGTATATATATAAATCTATACGTGTATACTTATACCCACTATATGTTTCCAAATATTCTTTACTAAAGTTGTGCTCCCTTTGTGTAAGTTTGTGCAGATATATGTGATACACACATATCCTTAGGGGATACTAGCAGGCAGGATGCATTATATCATGATATTATTCTTTCTAGAAGAAAGAATAAAAAAAATTATCCTTTCAAAAAAGTAATTTCCAGAAATCTCATTATCCCTTTATTGACAGTAAAAATGATTTTAACATATGCCTCATGTATACTAGTTAAACAACTGTGCATGGCTAGCATTAATATAATAATATTCAGTCTTCATTCATTGCTGTTGTATTCTATTAGGTGACAGTAGTATGGAAGGAGAAAATAGCTATCCTCAAATAAGAGAGGGTTGTATTTTTAAAACCATACTACCAGTATGGCATGGGTATTTCATTCCAGCTTTGAGATAAATATCTGGGAATATGAGGAATGAGTTAAACACACACACATATACACACACACAAGTAATCTATCATAGGAGAACAAGATGCATAAAGAAAAATATTGAAATAATTTGTTCCATGATAATATTATATAAGACATAAGAGGGAACACCTTTAGCCAAAATGTTTTCTCTTCTCCTTAAGAAAAAAGACACTAATGTTAATTATTTGTGGCAGGAAATTTTCTGCTTCCCTTTCTATTCATTTAAAGGAGACAGAAAGGGAAAAAAGATGATATAGAGAGGAAGGGAAGAGAGAGGAAAGAGAAAGAATGGAAATTGAGAATCAATTGAAAAGGACCCCTGAACTCATCTAATATAACCCCTATTCAAACTTTAATATCTGTGATAACCTAACCTAAGTTCTACTTACAATCTATAATATAGAGTTTCATGAGGAACGATGGGGGCAGGGACTAGATGGACCTATGATTTCATTGGTAGGGGGAATTCTCAGATAAGAAAGCTGAGAGCATTCTTAGATCAATGCAGTTCATTACCTTTTCTGTAACTTAGTTCTAGGGAGTTGCTTTGAGTCCTAAGCAACTAAGTTATTTGCCTAGAGATCCCATAGCCAGTAGGTGAAGGAATTGAGAGAAATTCAGTTCTTTCTGATTTTTAAGCTGGCTCTCAACCCGCTATACCAGTTATATCAACTCAAACTGAAAAGGATACCTGCAGGTGGCGTATTGACTTAGAAATTAACTGTGTTGTATTTTTACTTATTTTGTTAAACATTTCCCAATTATATGTTAATCTGGTCTCA